TGCTTTTGTATAAAAGTGCTGCAAGCTCGCATGCCTAATGCTCAGTTTCACTCAGGACAAAACCAAAATGATGTATGCAGCCATTCATATGTGCGCAGATACAGCAAGTGCCAAACACAAAATCTCGCACAGCATACAGCACTACTGTGCACTTCCAAAAGTCATTAAAACTGTGCCAACTCCTAATATATATCTTATTGTTCAGAACAAGCTTTCTTCCCTCCCCCCAAACTTGGGCATTTACGGCAGCTTTTTTTACCCAGAAAAGCCTGTTCTCTCCCTTCCACCCCAACCTTTCCTCACAGGGGATAAAGTCAAGTGGACCAGCCCAGCCGCTACGACTCTCCTGTCCCAATCCTTTATCAGGAAAAAGAAACAAACCCCACATTTCTTTAGCCTGGGTAGAAGCTCCCTAAACTTCACTCTTGTTCTGCTCAGAATATGTGCGCACTGAAGATGTCTTTGCCATAAGTCTTTGCCCATGTTTCCTGCAAAGGGATTGCTGAAGAAGGACCAAGAGGTCCTTCCTGGGGACTGAGCACCCTACCCCAGAGCAGCGCCTTACACCCTTTTCTGCTCAGCATTTCTGCTGTCACCAATGAGACTCACCCTCTACACAGCCACTGACTGCCCTGTCTTCTTGTCTCGCTGCTCTTCATCCCTAGCAAACACACCCTCCCCTGCCTCTGCCACTCCCAGCATCTCTGGGGTTAAGTTCCCAGCAAATTCTGCATGCTGAATTTTGTGATGAATTTTAGGTGGCAGAAGATGATGGACACTAAGGATGCCATTACATATTTTCTGCACTCCAACTTGTACAGCTCTGTGTAAATTTACTCAAGATTCACCTATGGCCAATACTTGAATGAACATGGATGTCCCCTTTGGAGATGGTGTGAGCGAGCATTTGCCTTCTCTCACTCTTCTGCACTCACACACAGAAATGCAAAATAAATGGAAGCTGCAACCCAAAGTAAGAAAAAGTTCAAAGTTACACTCTGCACTGCTACAGTTTCTTGCAAACCACTAATGCTACAAGCCAAGCAGTGTCATTTTGGAGCACCTGCCTGGGGTTCAGGAAGAAAAATAACACATTCTTCCACCCTGCTCCATCCTTCCCCCTTTATCCCCCAGGAGAAGCCGCTTGATTAGTTTACAAGGAGCTTCCCGTCTGCCTACTTGCTTCTGTTCTGAGACCTGAAAGCAAGCTGCCTGCCACTAAATTACTGAAGAGAAGTGAAGAAGCAAATGTAGGCTTTGCATTTTAATCTGAACACAGAGAGCAGCGTTTAGTGCTCTAGATCCTGGCTGGAGGAGGAGGCCCTGGGGTGCCCTCGGCCATGGGTCCCACTCCATCCACCACTGCAGTGCCAATGGGGCTTGTACCCAGGACTTCTCACAGAAGAGGGACAGCAAGGGCACCCCAGCAGAGCACCGGCAGTACGAGCTGTCACCACACTGTACCCCACCACCGGAGCCCTGTGAGAGGGCAAGAAGGGCTGGCAGCAGGCCACGGCCTGCCCTCCTCCCCTCCGAAAAGGCACTCATCTCCCTTCCAACAAAGCACCTGCGGCAGTGCACCTGCGGGGCTGGTGAGTCCCCGAAAAAAAGCAAAGTGTTTGGGAGAAGACAAGGCTGCCTGCACTTCTTCACAGCACAGGTACCTCTGTGGGCCAAAGCACCTCAGGAGAAGGCTTTTGCCCTCACCAAGATCATCTGGAGGTGCATCGGAGGAAGAAAAAAGAACCAGCCAGGGAAGAAAAAAGCAATACACACACACACGCACTCCGAACAGCCTGTGAAAACCTTACCCACCCCACAACCAGCTTCACTTAGCAGCAAGCCTTGGTAACATTAAAATATGGGGATGCAAAGGGGTCAGCACTGGGAAAGCTTCAAACCATGCCACCCAGCCTGCAGTAAGGGCCACATGTTTCAAGTACACTAGCTGCTCTTTTAACTTACTGATGCCGGTGTAATCTTGCAATGTCCCACATATGCACAGAAGCTGAAGTGGAGATGCCTGCACATTTGGAAATTTAAATGTGGGGGGGTTCCTTAATTTGCCCTCACATGACAGCATTGCGCCATGCCTTTAGCATACAGCTAAAGCTCTGGACACCAACAGACAGCACCACAGATGCTTCCTCATGTACATTTGCATTTAGTTTGGCCTTTCACTTAATGTTTGGCCTTTCACTTAATGTTTGCCCTTTCTGAGGCTTCCGAAGTAAGGGAACAGAGAAAATAAAGATGCACATTTCTCACAAACAGCTATTTTCTACACTGGAAGCATTACCAGCGGATTTGGCATCAGCACTGCCAATCTGGACACGACAGACCCGCTGTGCATCCCAGGAATTGCCCGGACAGCAGCAGCGCGGCCGGCGGCCCAAGCTCCAAGGGCGCCGGTCCTGCTCCGCGCCCCGCGTGTGCACAGGCAGAGGCGACAGTGCCGGTGGTCACAGACCTGCGAAGGGGGAGCGACAGCCCTGACCCGGCTCCCTCCCTCTCCGACAAACAGACAAACCCCGCTTCTCCCCCCGAGAAAACTGCAGGTGGAGGGGAAGTGCTTGCGGAGGGAAACCCAGGGCAGCTCTCCCTAATCTGAGAGGCGACCACCGGGCGGGCGCCGGAGGAGAGATCCCCGCTGGGGCAGGGCGCGG